AGTAGAGGAACTGATCCTCAGACCTCCTCCCTATGTACTGCGCCTTTCTTCCATGCCCCCGGTGCCGGCAGCGGCAGCCACTGTGCCTGAAGATGAGCTGCCGGCTGCCTCTGCTGTGTCTGGGGACATGCAGCCAGTTGTGCGGCAGAAGCAGAGGGGGTGGCCGTCGGCCCCCAAGGAGGAAAGGGATGTGGAGGAGGCAGATCTCCCTGTGAATGTTAGAAGGGAAATGAGTGAAGAGGATGAAGTGGAGGATGAAGCTGGAATAGTTGTGGCTAGTGGAGTAGTGACAAGATCGGCAGCGCCAAGGGCTGGGGCGGCCAGACGGGAACTTATAGCTCCCTTGAGGCAGGTGGATCAAGCAGTGTCAGACCAGCAAGGAGCAGTACTGATTCAGTCCATGTTTCAGTATGTTCCTTTTACTACGACAGATTTGTTGAATTGGAAACAGCATTATGGTCCATTGTCCTCTAAACCTGCTGAGATGGCTGATTTATTTGAGACTATTATGCAAACCCATAACCCGACGTGGCAGGATGTACAGCAATTGTTAAATACGTTGTTGACTCCCGAGGAAAGGGAGAAGTGGAAGGCTGCTGTTAGACAGTGTTTGAGAGATAGATTGCCTGCTGTACAGGATTTACAGCCAAAGTTGGACACACGAGCACCAGAGAAGGATCCAGGATGGGATGTGAAGGATCCGGCAATGATGATGTTGTTGAAGGAATATCAGAATTTAGTGGCAGAGGCTCTTTGAAAGGCTGGAAAGCCTCCGGTAAACATGTCAAAGCCATCTTTTGTGATGCAGGAAGCAGATGAAAGTCCAGAGAGTTTCCTGCAGAGGTTAATTGAAGCTTATGAGCTCTATACTCAGGTGGATCCAAGGAGTGCAGAGAATGTGCGGATGTTGAATGAAAGATTCATAGCGCAAAGTTATGATGACATAAGAAGTTGCAGAGGTTGGAGGGAGCATTAGGGAAGAATACCACTGAGCTGTTGGAAGTAGCAAGGAAAGTGTTTATTAATAGGGATAGGGCTGAAAAGAAGGAGAAAGAGGCGAGGATGTATAAAAAGACAGAGTTGCTGGCCGTGGCGTTGCAAGGACCTAATCAGTGTGCTAATTGCAAAGAGGAAGGTCATTGGCAAAGGGAATGTCCTAGACGCCCGATAAGAGGAAGAGGTTGGAGAGGAAGAATAGACAGAGGACATGGAGGTGTTGAGGGTGGACCCCCCACTCGCTTCAGAGTCATCTGAAATGGCCTGACACTTTACCTTTAGCACTATATGCTGTGAGATGTGCTCCTCATCGACAGTACAAACAGTCTCCATATGAGTTGATGTTTGGGCGTCCTCCTACCTTACTGAAATTTGGCTGGATGGTCTGATTTGGGCCATCAGGGTGGAGTATGGGCTCTGGAAATGGTGCAGGAACTGAATAAGCAGGTGGAAAAACTCAGAAACTATTATTGAACAAATGCCACCTAAGTTGGTGACCAGATGTCATCCCTTTAAATCTGGAGATAAAGTGTGGGTGAAACATTGGAAGCGTGAGCAACTGGAAGGGAGATGGAGAGGGCCCTATGAGGTAATAATGGTCTCTCCTTTAGCTATCAAAATTTAAGAATCTAAGTCCTGGATCCACTGGACCAGGGTCAAGGCAGCAGCAGATCCTCCTTGGACAGTATCCAGGGACCCAAAGGTCTTTACAAAGCTTACCCTTAAATGTGTTTAATGAATGCTTTATTATTTGTATAACAGATATTATAGTAGTACAAGTGTTTCCTGCATATATCTACGGCTGTTCTGTCGGATTCAACACCCCTGCTAAGTCACTCCGGAAGCTGGCTTTCTACGCACAAAAGAAGAAAGGATGAAAGGATTATTATTGCTTCTCTATAGTACTATTGTTACATGTAATAATGTTTGTCTCTTTAATCTAGGCCAATGGAGCAAGCCAGAAGAGGCTCCCAGTATTGTTCAGTCTTATGCTATAGGAACTGGTAATTGTGATGGTCACCCCCCCCCCATTGGTTTCTCACCAGAATGCTGGAATGGTATCTTGCCTCATGCTTGTCAATTCCCACTAGTGTTTGATAGGATAGTTAAAGAAACTTGCCTCACTAGACAACCTGTCAACCCTGAAGCCTGTCAATATGCTGGCTATATTCTTAGGAAAGGCGTATATGTTAGGGCCCCTTATAAAAAGCCTCCTCCTCCTGTAACCTTGGAATGTGGGCCTCCTTTATTTTGGGGTTGGGAACAAGTTACCCTAGTCTCGCAGTTAAAAACGGGATGGAAGGGGACTTGTATTGTACGTGTAATTCCGGTGGAGTTTGGAACCACTATCCGGAAACCGCAGAGGAAGCGGCCTGAGAGAAAGAGAAATAAAAGGTCCAACCAGAACAAGGATGTGCCCCATCCATTGGAGTCACGGATGCAATATAATTTATGGGTCCAGCTGGCTAAGATAGCCAATACAACAGATTTCTGCCTTTCTGAAGCATATGATATGGAGAATTTATTGTCCACATGTTTAATACCAGTGTGTGTTCCAGCCTCAATAGCAAAGGAGTTTGGTCACCATGTGTTTCAAGGCCACATAGGATATGAAACACTATATAGTTGGGGTCCTATTTCTAAACTTTTGCCACAGGATGCTCTTGCTTTACATACTCCCATCGTAGCAGTTCCAGAAGATCTGCAATGTGTCCATATTACAGGCTGTGAGCAAACTACACCCCCACTTCATTGCATGAAAGTGAGCCAAGAGAAACTAAACTGCACCTCCTTCCAGTCTGTATCCTTTGGCTTTGCCAATATATGGTTACCTAAGGGATGGTTTTTCACATGTGGAAAAGAGACTTTTAATTACATTTCTGCAAATTTGAGTACAGCCTATTGTTGCTTAAGTAGACTAACTACCTTTTTACCAGATAGATCACTCTTTACTGTCTCAAATGTTACACGCTATAAAAGAGAAGAAGTTTTGAATAAAAAGTGTGATTTATCTCAAACTCTCTTTAATTCAGCAGAATATCATCCATTGGGTGTCTCAATAGTGGGAGTTCCAGTGCTTGCTGTCACAGCTCATATCAATATAAATTCTGTAGCCTGTAATTTAGCAAAAACTATAATGCCACCTCAATAGCCTTGTCTGCTATTAATCAGGAGTTGGCAGAACTGTGTAAAGCAATTTTACAAAATAGGGCGGCCATCAACTATCTTTTGCTCCGTCAACATCTAGGATGTGAAACTTTTGAAGGAATGTGTTGTTTTAACCTTTCAGACCAATCCCCAGTTATAAATCAACAGATCAAAATGCTCCATAAAATGGCATTGGACTTAAAAATAGATTCCCTAAGAAGTTGGTGGAGTAATTTGTGGTCTTGGCTCCCAGTGGGTCTTATTGGTACTATCATAAAAGCAGTTGTCATTTTTATTGCTATTATGATTAGTAGCTGTTGTCTCATGCAATGTGCCTTTTCATTAATGAATAACATAACACTGCCAAAACGAATGTCAATACTCGCTGAAAGAAAAGCAACTGCCCAAGTTATGGCTATGTGGGAATACAGGAACCAGGAATGCAATAACTTACATACAGCAGACCCAAACATTACAGGTTGAGACTCATCTTCAAGGTTGAGATAAGTCTCAATAGGGAGAGTAAAGTGGGAAGCTGGAAAAATACTGATGTCTAGCAGAAACTGTGGGCGCGAAGGAGGTTTCCTGTCTACTAGATGACACTTAAATTTAGAAATGCGTGATCAGCCCAATATCCTGTTTTTCTCTATGCACATGATATATTGCAAACTGCTTGGTAGTTTTCCTATGTTAGAATAAGGAACTATAGAATATAACCATGTATGGAATACTTCATGATCAGGAAATGCATATGTATTAAGGGGTATAAGAATGTTCACCTAAGCCCCTGTTTGGGGTTCAGACCCTTTTTGCTATGATTAGCTCTCTGAACCTGTGCAATAAACCATTTCCTTTCCCAAAAGAGCTGACAAGTCTCTCATTTCTACAACAAGCCTATTTCAACCTTCAAGCCTTCTCAGGGAGGTAAGACGCTCCAGCATTTGAGGGAGTGACATGAATTCCTTCTCTTTCTTTGTTCTCTCTATCTTTTTTCTCTAATGCAGGAATTAATTGACTCCTTTCAGCTCACATTCTAACTATTCATTCTCATTGAAAATATAGTAAACATTAGAAAGTCTTACATGCCTTTGTTTCTCTTCTTTACAAACAAACAGTGGAAAAGACTTCTGGAGAACATGGATAGGGAGGGGGTAATGGGAGAATGAGAATGATTTTGGGAGACGTGGGAAGAGCCTTTCGCTGAACAGCTATTATCGAAAAGATAACCTAATCCCCACAAGGAGATTGTGAGGGTGACGGGGCATTGGAAGAATTGCAAAAGAAACTCCCTAATTGTTCAAAGAGTAAAAAGAGAGGATGGAAAAAATACTTTTGGAGTTTCAGGATTTTGAAAGTAGAGATAGCGCTAGTATTCATTCTTGTACCTCTTGTCTGGACTACCTCCAAGGGCTGACAAAATATCCTTCCAGTTAGGAGTCCCAGACCAGGAATGTAGACCCCAACCATGTATGCAAGACGACTGATGTACCCAACAATAACCTTTCCCAAAGATAGGAAGAGAGAGACAGAGGTACAAATATACCTTCTCAAAGAAGCACACAAAGAAAAACGCAGTCACAAACCTGCCCCTATCTCAATTGGAGCATCCCATTTCTGTGACCATTTTAAGAATTTTAAATCATAACCTAAGTACTTAATAACCACAAATCAATGCTCTTTTTCACGGAGAGAACATGTTAAGCAGATCACGTTTTGGAAAGTTATTTTTCTTCTAGGCAGGCAAATATTTTAGGCAAAAAGAAGGAAGCAACCGTATTTATATTACAAGGCTGCGAATTATTGCAAAGAATAGACAGAAGATTACAAAAGTTATTAAATAAAAGATGACCAAACAGTTTGTATATTTGAAAACCAGGTTAATGCTAGAAACTGAACAAGACCCCTTAAGAGTTTTGGTTACATCGAGTAGAAATGTCAGAAAGCCACATTTTACAGTAGAAGGCATTATCATATCACAGTTTGAATATACTTATGGTGTCTCCAGTACTTTCACGCCTGTTGCCAAGTGCCCTATAATCATGTGATTAATATTTGCAACTTTTCTGCAGACTTTACTGAAAGTCAATGAAGAAGCCTGTAAGGAAGAACTGGTTTCTGGGGCCTGACTGAAAAAGCTCGACTCCAAAATCCAAACTAATCTTTTTCAGCCAGCCTATTGAACCCTGGGCTATTCAGCATGCTTCTCTTTTGCTCTCAAAGAGACTGGTTGAAAATATCCTCCCCTCAAAAGGTGTTTCTAGGGGCGACTCCTGGACTAGGCTGGCCAAATGAACTTTGGATTCCAAGGATCCGAGCCTTCTTCAGCATGCATTTTATCTTCTGTCGTGCTGCAAAGGACCATAAGCTGCAACCACCTCCAGCTGCAAAGCTCAAGAACATTCCAGAGTGTTCTGTGTTTGTTTTTTCCAGCTGGAATAATCTGGATGCAGAAACGATCACTGAACAGCCAGTGGGAAAAGGATATCCGCAGGAGACTTACCATCGCTATTCCTACGTAAGAGGTCTGCATGTTCTTGACGTCTCCAAAAGCAAATCTAAGATGCCACCTTGAGGAAGGCCCCTTTGTATCTTTATAGTCCCTTCTGGAAGAGGATAACAATGGGTACACATACACACACACACACAACGACACAAAGAAAGGAGCAGAAATGGGTACTAGGGGAATGCAGGTGAAGAAAGGCTGGTATTTCTGCACCAAAATGGGACTGAGTAGGGAGTCCCCACACACAGTAGCAGCCAAATTGCCCCTCCCCCAATTCCCATTGCAGCAGGCATGTCTCCCAGAAAGTTTTCTCTCTTCGCCCCCTCCCCAACTATAGTGAAGCCCCAGTCCTCTTATTGATGCAGAACTTTCACTGCATTCTTCTGCAGTCCTCTTAAAGTTTCCCCAACACCACTAATACTGGCAACTCCTTCCACAGCTGGTATTTGGTGGAGTGCGCTTCTAAGGCCCAGCTCAGACCCTCCTATAAATGAATCACTAGTGCTGAGATTGAATAAAAAGTAAAATACTTGGGTGTTAATCTGACAAATATGAACTGTACATTGTTTTGAAAAATTATGTTAAGCTATGGGTTGAAGTTTGATAAAGATATGTTAAAGAGAGAAAGACTACAATTGCTGGGGAGAATTTCTATGATGAAGATGACATTTATCTTTGAATATTATTTTTGTCCCAGACCAAACTTGTTCTCACAAGTCATGTAGCATTTAAAGAATAGAAGAAAAGCATATCAAAATTGATACCTTAGGGTAAAAAACCTGGAGTTAAATACAACATGTCACTAGATGCTAAAGAAAGAGGAAGTTTAAGTTAACCAAATTTGAAATTATATTTTGCAGCTTGTTTAGATTGGATGGGTGAAATTAAGCACATAGGAGGTCATTGGAGCAAAAACACATGAACACAGATTTAGGTGACAAGGGTATTTTTGCATAGAAACTCCTGTCTAACCCATTCTCCAATGAGGTGATTAAATTATTAATTATTGTTTTTTACTTTGCACCTGTCTCACCAAAAGAACTCTGGGCGACTTAAAAAGTTAAAAGCAACAAAAAATACCAATATATATAGCTACAAAATTACAATACCTCTGAAATAATAAAAATAAAAATTCATGGCAGAGGAATAATCAAAGTACAAATGCATGATTTAGCAGGGGGCTTCCCTCTTCTCAGCCACTCTCACCCAAAGCCCACTGGAAGCCCCAGAGTTGAGTTAGGATTGGAGTGGTTCTTCTTCCCCATTTACAAACTACCAATAATATTTGACCAGAAAGGGAAAAGCCTCCTGTAACAAATGCTCAAATTTGGGGGTGGGGGCCTTTAAGAATCAACTGTGCTACTCTTTATTCTGAGTTTAGTTCTTGTCTTTTAGCAGAAGACCTAAACTAAAAACATCGATCTGATTTTCAAAGAGCTTTGGATGATAAATAATAAATAGTTTTATTTTATAAATTCAATACGTAAAGGAGAAAAGTATAATTCCTGTGTAAAACATATGCAAATAGCTACTCTGAGAAATCCATTTAGTTATATGAAATTGAGAATTTTTTTTAGCTTATTCTCGATCTTTAGTTATACAAATTCTTGATAAATTGATTACGGACCATGAAATGCGTATTGATTGATCAGATAGATAAGATTTTCTGCAAGATAATCTTTCACAGTTTCCAGAGGAGGAGCATTTAAACAGAGTCATGAAAAACGAAGGGATCGGCGCCAGCTCCGTTAAACCGAATCCCTCAGTCCTCTACGCTCCCTTCTGCTCTAGCAACCCGGCAAACGAAGCGCCGGGAGAAACGCTTTACGCCTAGAGAGCAAGTCCCGTCTCCAGGAAGGGAGCATAGAGGGAAGGAAGATCTTTGCTCCAGCCATCCTGCCGAAATCCAGGGCGAGGCAGAGGGCGAGGCTTCCCCTCGTTCGCAGCCCCGGATCCAACCTGCCTTTCCCTCCCGGATTTCCATCCTGCTTCAGTCTCTGCATCTGACGGAGGCGGCTGCACTCACGAAACTCTCCTTTTGCAAGGAAAGGTGTCAGCTGGAAAAGGAGCTACCAGCCGCCTTCCGACGTTCAGCCCCGCGATCCGTCCGTCCTGCGCTGGACCCAGAGACCAAGGAGAGCCCCACCTTTCAGCGGAGCCTCCCCGACTTCCATGCAGGGCGCAGGACCTGGGCAGGAGCAAGCAACCTATGAAGAGGGGCGACGCCGAGATCATCGGTCCTTCCCTTCCCTTTGCACACATCACCACCCCTACCTCCGCTTCCACCGCCCGCCTTTCAGCGAACCCCACCCCCTTGAGAAAAAGAGCAGGGACAGACATTCCGTGACGCCGGAAAAGGAAGGTCCCCTTTGATTCTTTTCTTACCAGGTCCCCTCTAGGAAGCACATATCTCTCGTTCTGGCTCCTTGTGAACAGGGGTCTTCAGACTTGGGCCTTTTGACTCCTGGACTTCAACCCCCAGAATTCCTCAGCCAGCGTTCCTGGAGCGCTCAGGTAATTGACGGGAAGGATTTGCCGTTGCTCTTCTCAGGCGCGAAGCTCGAGTGAGCGGAGACCCATTTCTGTCCTGCAAACCGGAGAAGGGTTTCGGAGGGGCTGGGGGACATTTGGGACTTCCTCGGGCTCCTTTTGGCTGCCCTCGAGCAGGAGACCCGACGGAAGCCCAGGGATCTCCAGGGATGGAGGCCGCCCTCAGCCCAGAGATCCACCGCCGGCGCTTCCGCGGTCTCGACGGCTGCCGCCAGGAGACCGAGGGGCCCCGGGAGCTTTGCAGCCGCCTGCACCGCCTGTGCCGCCAGTGGCTGCGGCCGGAGAGGAGCAGCAAAGGGGAGATGCTGGACCTGGTGGTGCTGGAGCAGCTGCTGGCCCTGCTGCCCGCGGAGATGGCGAGCTGGGTGAGGGAGTGCGGAGCCGAGAGCTGTTCGCAGGCGGTGGCCCTGGCCGAAGGCTTCCTCCTCAGCCAAGCCCAGCGGGAAGAGCCGGGAAAGGGGCAGGTGAGGAGGGCGGGGGGGCTTCGTCCTGGGAAATCCATGGGGGGCGGGGAGCGGGAGAGGGAGAGGAAGGATTAGCGATCTAGCTATATCTGCAATAAGACATATTAAAAGTATGACTGCAGCCTTTTCTGGAATTCCACACTTTTGAAGAACTGATTTCTCCTTGAGGCAAATGCTTCTGTTTCCTCAATTAATTTATCTCTTTACACCTCTGTATCCTTTGTGATGTTATCATATCTCATAATAATTGGTGTGATCTGCTGTTACCTGAATCCAGATAAGGGGAAGCAACTGGATTATGTGAATGGCCTCTGATACAGAGCCACATTTAATAAGCCTAGAATACCACAACAGTAAGAGAAGGAAACTAATTAACACACCCTTACAGTTTATATACATAAAAACACAGCCTGCTGTTTTAAGTCACTCGCAGAGTCCCTGAAGTGTCTCTGAATTGGGTTGGGGAAATACAAGTTGGAAAGAAAAATGTAAAGAATGTGAACTATCACAGATATTGTCCTCTGAAAATGGATTATGAATGGGGCTGTTCTTCAAATGCAGGAGCCGTTCACAGAGGAGATTTCAGCAGAGCTCCGGGACAGAGAAGATCGATCCAGCTCTATTCAGGACCTGTTTTTCAGGAGGACCCAATTCTGGCCACCTTCCCAGGTAAGTGCAGGTTTCTTCTGAGAACAGTAGCGTTCCAGCTCCATCCATTCAGAAGCTGTTTTTGATACCAAAAGCTGAGTCTATGTGCACTTGAACACAGTGTCCACCCACATTTGGCTTTCAAGATTGTGCTGGAAATGCCAATGAGACAATTGATAGGCAGGAACCTTTTATTAGAAATGAAATTTAATTGTAGAAAGAGTTTAAGAAGAATGCCTAAAATAGTTAGAAATAAAACCCATGAATTGAAACTATAACAGTGGGATTAAACATACCTAAGACGTTTTTATTTATTTTATTGAATATTTATGCTAGCTGTCTCCCTTGTAAGGTAACTGTTAAGTATACCAAGAAAAATATAGCACATGAAGGATAAGCCAGTAAGTCAACACTAAGTGGCTGTAACAATAAAACTGTTGTTCAATGTTGGCTGTATTGCATTCTACAACCTGGAAGTAGCTAATCCGTGATTTGTTAAGCTGCAACTTCCCAGCCACATGGACTAGGTGGACACGGTGGCATGAATCTGTCCTGAAAGCAAATGTTCATTTACCTCTTGCAACTGTGCATTTTATGTTGTCTGCATTAAGAGAGAGAACTTTCAACTGTTTCCTGGGATTGTCTACTTTTTTCTCTTTCTAGAGCTCTGATCCCTTTGAGGAGGTGACTGTGGACTTCACAGATGAGGAGTGGAGGCTGCTAGATTCTGGGCAGAAGGCCTTGTGCAGAGAAGTCATGCAGGAGGTTTCTATCAATATGGCTGCTCTGGGTAAGGCCAGGCTGTTCAGTTCGCTATAAGGTTGTGACAGAAATATTCACCATAGAATTGAGAAATATCCTAGATACTCCATGGAAGTGACTGAATAGATTGACTTTAATTTGTTTTTTGTCTGAAAACATTATTTCTATATAATAAAGCCTCCTAGATAACAATTTGCAGATAGCACATCCTGGCTAGACAAATGGATTGTACTAAACCTGGAACGCAGATTGACATGTTTTTGATGGGGTTGGGCCTTTTAAATTCTAATCAGAATATTAATTTTCATTTTTTCCCATGCAGATGAGGTGTTTGTGAATGAGAACGACAAGGAAGCATGCATGCCTCTAAAAACTATGGAGAATAACTCCTTCGCTGCTACTTCACCAAAGAAACTGTATGGGAAATGCAAACCACATACTTCTGTAATATCTTTGGTGGATTCCACCCTGAGCAGAAAGAGGAAATGCTGCATGCAGTGTGGAAAGAGTTTCAGTACGAAAAGTAATCTTAATGTCCACCAAAAGATGCACACCGGGGAGAGATCATATGAATGCATAGAATGTGGAAAGAGCTTTATCCGGAAAGAAAATCTTAAACTTCATGAGAGGATCCACACTGGGGACAGACCGTATAAATGCATGGAATGTGGAAAGAGCTTTACCCAGAAAGTAAATCTTAATCATCATGAGAGGATCCACACTGGGGACAGACCATATAAATGCATGGAATGTGGAATGAGTTTTACCCGGAAAGGACCTCTTAATCGTCACAAAAGGATGCACACTGGAGACAGACTGTATAAATGCATGAAATGTGGAAAGAGTTTTATACGGAAAGGACATCTTAAACTTCATGAGAGGATCCACACTAGGGACAGACCATATAAATGCATGAAATGTGGAAAGAGCTTTACCCAGAAAGGACATCTTAATTTTCATCAGAGGATCCACACTGGGGACAGACCGTATAAATGCATGGAATGTGGAAAGAGCTTTATCCAGAAAGGAAATCTTAACCTTCATGAGAGGATCCACACGGGGGACAGACCGTATAAATGCACAGAATGTGGAAAGAGCTTTACTCAGAAAGAAAGTCTTAATATTCATGAGAGGATCCACACTGGGGATAGACCATATAAATGCATGGAATGTGGAAAGGCCTTTACCCGGAAAGGAAATCTTAATCGTCACAAAAGGATCCACACTGGGGACAGTCTGTATAAATGTATGGAATGTGGAAAGAGCTTTACTCGGAAAGGAAATCTTAATCTTCATGAAAGCATCCACACTGGGGACAGACCATATAAATGCATGGAATGTGGAAAGAGTTTCATTAGCAACAGTCAACTTAATTACCACCAAAGGATTCACAGTGGGAAGCTACCATATAAGTAGATAGACTGGAAAAAGATATACTGGGAAAGCTCATCTTAATTGTTATGAAAGGATCCACACTGGGGATAGACCGCATTAATGCACAGAGTGTGGAAATAGCTTTACTTGGAAAACACAATTCTCATAAAGAGCATATAAATCCATGGAGGATAGAAAGAGCCTTTCTTAGGGGAGAGGTGATAGTGGCCAACTAAGTATTGGATGGTAAATAATAAATATATTTCTATTATAAATTTAACACGTAAAGGAGAAAAGTATAATTCCTGTGTAAAACATATGCAAATTGCTACTCTGAGAAGTCTACTAAGTTATATAATATTAAAAAAATATTTTTAGCTGATTCTTCATCTTTAGTTATACAATTTTTTGGATAAATTGGTTACGGGCCATCAAATGAGCCGAGGTTTGCAACACTCAAAGAGCCAGTTGGACCTGTTTCCCAGAGAAAAGAAAACACTGGGAGCCACAAAAGTTGTCTGCGTGCACGCATATGGGAGAGCTTGATTGAAGAGTTTAATTAAAGAGAAATAGAGGCTGCTGTGCATGAGTTCTCTTTCCTCTCCCTCCCTCTCTCTCTCTACCTCTCTTTCTCTTTCCTCTCCCTCTTTCTCTTTCCTCTTTTCTTTCCTCCCCTCTTTCTCTCTTTCCTGTTTCCCTTTCTCTCTTGCTCTTTCCTCTCCCTCCTTCTTTCCTCCCTTCCTCTTTTTTTCTCTCTCCCATCTGTTTTTCTCCTCCTCTCTCCCTCACTTTTTTTCTTTTTCCTCTCTCCCTCTCTCCCTCTTTCCTCTCCCTCTTCCTCTTTCCCTCTCTTTTTTTCTCTCCTTTCCTCCTCTCCCTCTTTCCTCTCTCCCCTCCTCTCTCAGTCTTTCCTTTCCCTCTTTCTCTATTCTTTCTTTCCTCCCCATCTCCCTTTTTCTTTTTCTCTCCCTCTCCCTTTTTTCTCTTTCATCTTTCTTTATCTCTTTCCTCTCCCTTTCCTCTCTCCCTCACATTTTCTCTCTCTTTATCACTTTCTCACTCTTTCCTCTCCCTTTCTTTCCTCTCTCCCTTTCCTCCCCCCTCTCCCTTTCCCTTTTTCTCTCCCTCGCCCTTTCTTTTGCGCTCTCCTTTCTCACTTTTTCTCTCCCTCTCCTTTTCTCTCCCTCTTCTCTTTCTCTCCCTCTTTTTCTCTCTCTCCTTTTCCTCTTTTTCTTTCCGCCTCTCTCTATCTTTCATCTTTCTTTTTCCTCTCTTCCTCTCAATCTCTTTCCCTCTCTCTCCCTTTCTCTTTCCTCTCTCCTGCTTTTTCTATCTCTCCCTCACTTTCTCTCTCCCTCTCCCTTTCTTTTTCCTCTTTCCCTCTTTCCTCCCCCTCACTTTCTATTTTTCTCTCCCTTTTTTCTGTCCTCTCCCTTTTTTCCTTTTTCCCTCTCCTCTCCTTTTCTCTCCCTTTTTCTCCCTTTCATCTCTCTTTCCTCTCCGCCTCTCCCTCTTTCATCTCCCTTTTTCCTCTCAATCTCTTTCCCTCTCTCCCTGTCTTCCCTCTCTCCTCTCCCTTTTCTCTCCCTCTCCTCTCCCACTCTCCCTCAATCTTTCGTGCCCCGTCTCTCCCTCTTTCTCCCTCCCTCGTCTTTTTTCTTTTTTCTCTTCCATCTCCCTTTCTCTCGCTCTTTCGTTTCACTTTCCTCCCTCTCCCTTTCTCTCGGTCTTTTTCCTCTCCCTCCCCCTTTTCCTCTCCCTCTTTCCTATTTCCCTTTCTCTCGCTCCCTTTTCTCTCCCTTTCCTCCCTCTCTCTCCATCTTTTTCTCTTTCCCTTGCCCTTTTTTCTTTTTGTCTCCCTCTCCCTTTGTCTCCCTTTCTTTTTCTTTCCCTTTCTCCCTTTTTTCTCTCTCCCTCTCCTCCCTTCTTCCTCTTTTTCTTTCCCTCTCTCCTCTCTCTTTGCCTCTTACTCTGTCCCTATTTTTTCTCTCCCTTTTTCTTTCTCCCTCTCTCCTTTTCTCTCTCCCTTTCATCTCCCTTTCTCTTTCCTCTCCCTCCCTTTCCTCTCTCTCTCCCTTTCCTCTCCCTTTCTCCCATTCCTTTTTCTCCCTCTCTCCCTTTTTTCTTTCCTCCCTTTCCTTTTTCTCTTTCCCTTTCTTCCCCATCTTCCTTTCTCTCCTCTCCCTCACCCTCTTTTCCTCTCCCTCTTTCCCTCGCTCCCTTTTCTCTCCCTTTCCTCACTCTCTCTCCATCTTTTTCTCTTTCCCTTGCCCTTTTTTCTTTTTGTCTCCCTCTCCCTCTCCCTTTGTCTCCCTTTCTTTTTCTTTCCCTTTCTCCCTTTTTTCTCTCCCTCTCCTCCCTTCTTCCTCTTTTTCTTTCCCTTTCCTCCCTCCCTTTTTCTCTCCCTCTCCTTTTCTCTCTCCCTCACTTTTTCTTTCCCTCCCTCTTTCCTCTCCATCTCCCTCTTTCCTCTTTTCTCTCTCCCTCTCCCTTTTTCTCTCCCTTTCTCCCTTTTTTCTCTCCTTTTCTATCTCCCTATTTCTTTCTCTCCTTTTTTCTTTCTCCTCTCCCCTTTTCCTCTCCCTTTCAATCTTTCTTTCCACCCGTCTTTTTCTCTCTCCCTCTTTTGCTTTCCTCTCCCTCTCATTTTCCTCTCCTTTCTTCCCCCTCTTCCTTTCTTTTTCTTTCCCTCTCTCCTCTTTTTGCCTCTTACTCTGTCCCTATTTTTTCTCTCCCTTTTTCTTTCTCCCTCTTTTCTCTCTCCCTTTCATCTCCCTTTCTCTTTCCTCTCCCTCCCTCTTTCCTCTCCCTTTCTCCCATTCCTTTTCTCCCTTTTTTCTTTCCTTTTTCTTTCCCTTTCTCCCCTATCTTCCTTTCTCTCCTCTCCCTCTTTTCCTCTCCCTCTTTCCTCTTTCCCTTTCTCTCACTTCCTTTTCTCTCCCATTCCTTTTTCTCCCTCTTTTTTCTTTCCTCCCTTTCTTTCCCTCTCTCCTCTCTTTGCCTCTTACTCTCTATTTTTTCTCTCCCTTTTTCTTTCTCCCTCTCCTTTTCTCTCCCTTTCTCCCATTCCTTTTTCTCCCTCTCCCTTTTTTCTTTCCCCTCTTTCCTTTTTCTCTTTCCTCTCCCTTTCTTTCCCCCCATCTCCCTTTCTCTCCTCTCCCTCGCCCTTTTTCTTTCCTTTTCTCCTTTCTTTCTCCTTTTCTCTCCCTTTATTTCCCTTTCCCTCTCATTTTTTCTCTTCTCTATCCCCCCTCCTTTTCTCTCCCTTTCTCTCCCACCTCTCCTTTTATCTCTCCCTCCCTTTTTCTGTCTCTCTCCCTTTTTTCTTTATCTCCCTTTCTCTCCCCCTCTCCCTATCTTTTTCTCCCTCTCTCTCCTCCCCTCTCCCTCTCTCCGATCTTCTGCTCACCTGGCAAGCTGGCTTCAGGCTGTTCTCCAATAAGCTGACACACATTACTGGGCTGGCTCTCTCCTGCCCTTCATGCTTCCTGCAGAGAGACAGCAAAGGGAGGAGTCCCGCCCACTAAGCTTGTCAGCTCGTTGGAACAGCGTGAGCTGTTTTTTACACACAGAGGGGGGGGGGGAAGCAGGGAAGTGCAAGTGGCTCTATCTGTCTCTGCAAATGGCAGAGGAGGCTGGGAGCCGCAGGGAAAGGTTCAAAGAGCCACATGTGGATCCAGAGATGCAGATTGCCAACCTGTGACCTAGAGAGCAAGTACCATGTCCAGGAAGGGAGCATAGAGGAAAGGAAGCTCTCTGCTCCAGCCATTCTGCCAAGCTCCAGGACGAGGCAGAGGGTGAGGCTTCCCCATGTTTGCAGTCCCGGATCCAACCTGCCTTCCCCTCTTACCGCCCTCCCCAATTTCCATCTTGCCTCCGTCTCTGCACCTGACGGAGGCGGCTACACTCACAAAGCTGTAGTTTTCAAGGAAACGTGTTGGTTGGAAAAGGCGCTACCAGGCGCCTTCCAACATTCAGCCCCCAATCTGTGCATCCTGCACTGGACTCAGAGACCCATAGACCAAGGAGAGCCCCTTTGATCACAAGAAAGGAACACATAGAATACAGACTACGGTATACAGTATATTTTGAATAGAATTTATTATCTTCAGTTAACATTACAAATACGCAGAGAAATTCAAGTTTGGGATGAGAACAAGGTACTGTACACTTGAAGAGAAAAATCACAGCTGCAATCTGGATATTTATGTAAAATAAAATGACAACATCCATATCATATAATAGCCAGGAAAAAGCTATACTGGGAAAGCTCATCTTACTTGTCATGAAAGGATCCACACTGGGGATAGACTGCATTAATACACAGAGTGTGAAAATAGCTTTACTTGGAAAACACAATTCTCATAAAGAGCATATAAATCCACGGAGGGTAGAAACAGCCTTTCTGAGGAAAGAGGCGATACTGGCCACCAAATTATGCACAGGGGAACCAGCCCACAAATATATTGAGTGTGGAGGGGAAAAGCCTTTAATGACTACAGGTAGTCCTTGATTTACAACCACAATTGAGCCCAAAATTTCTCTTGTTAAGTGAGACATTTGTTAAGTACATTTCACCCCATTTTACTGTATTTCTTGCCTATGTTGTTAAGTGAATAACTGCAGTTGTCTAGGTTGGATAGGTGCTCATTTACTGTTTTCTTGCCTATCTTAACTAGCATTTCTATTATTTTTTATGGCACTATTTTTTTTTTGAAAATATTGTTTTTTTAATTTTTAAGAAAAAGTACTCAGGACACACCATGGTGTTTGGGTAATCAGACATTCCAAAGTAAAAACAACTCAACTCAATACATTCACTGTCTCCTCTCTATTTCCCTCAAATAACATAATATGTTTAAAATATTCCATTTCTAAATTAAATTTCTATTACTACTAAACCTGTTTTAAAACTTTATCAGTTTACAATTACCAAAATCAAATTTCACTTTAACTCAACAAGTTATCAATTCAGGTATCCCTTCCAGA